CAACAACTACAGTAGTACCTGGCACATAATAGGAACTCAATAAATATTTGCTGAATGAATCTTTAAGTTAACCCTATATGGTAAATAGTATTATTCTCATTTTATAAAACAAGGGAACTGAAGCTCAGAGAGGTTAGGTAACCTGACCTAGACCCCTTAGCTAGAAAGCAAGTCCCACTAGAACACTCCAACCCATCACCATAGGGTCTCCCAAAGTACAGCATTAAACTGGATTTTAGACAATTCACAGATCAGCTTTTGAAAACACTTAGGAATACTGACTAGCAACAAATAAATACACCTTGACCTAAACCTCACACCTTACCCAAAACAGATCAAACTTAAATGTAAAACCACAATCTGTTGGTGCTAGGGGTAGGCAAGGAGCTCTTAGACTTGATACCAAAATCATAATTCAGAAAAGAGAAATTTTATGAATTGAACCTCATCAATTTAACAATACTTGTTCTGTGAAAGCCCATATAAAGAGGATGAAAAGACAAGCTACAAACTGGGAGAAAATATTTACAAACTGCACATGCAACAAAGGACTAGTATCTAGAATGTATAAAGAACTCTCAAAACTCCACAGTGATAAAATGAAAATCCAATTAGGAAACAGTTAAAGACATGGACAGACAACTCACCAAGAAGGATTCATATCTGGCAAATAGCACATGAAAAGACGTTCAACATTGCTAGGCATTAAAGAAAGGCAAGTCAAGATCTAATGGGATATCACTATACATCTCCCAGAAAGTCTAAAATCAAAATATAGCAACAACACCGAATGCTGGCAAGGATGCAGAAAACTGGATCACTCATACATTGCTGGTGAGAATGCAAAACAATACAGCCAGCCACTCTGGCAGTTTCTGATAAAACTAAACATGAAATTACCATATAACTCATCAATTGCACCCTTGGGCATTTATCCCAGAAAAATGAAAACTTATGTTCCTGCAAAAACCTATATGCGAATCTTCATAGAAGCTTTACCTTAATAGCTAAAAACTGAAACCAGTCCAGATGCCCTTCAACAAGTGAATGGTTAAACAACTGTGGCATTTCCACACCATGGAATACGACTCAGCAATAAAAAGGAATGAACTATTGATATATACAACAACTGGGATAAAACTCCAGGGAATTATGCTAGTAAAAAAAAAGCCAATCCCTGTGCCAAAGATAATTCAATGAGGAAAGCATAATCTTTTCAACAAATGGTGATGGGAAAAGATATCCATAAGAAAAAAAAAAAATGAAGATGGGCCCCTACCTCACACCATATACAAAAATTAACTCAAAATGGACCTAAGACCTAACTGTAAGAGCTAAAACTATAAAACTCTTAGGAAAAAAACATAGGGGTGAACGTTCATGACTTTGGATTAGGCAATAGTTTCTTGAGTATGACATCAAAAGCATAAACAACAAAAGAAAAAAAATAGGTAAACTGGGCTTCAAAATTGAAAACCTTTGAGCATCAAGGGTTGCTATCAAGATAAAGAAAAGACAACACACAGAATGGCAAAAAAATATTTGCAACCTCATCTGGTAAGAGTCTAGTATCCAGAATATATAAAGAATTCTTACAACTCAATAATAAAAAGACAAATAACCCAACTTAAAAAATGGGTTATTTTTAAGGATCTGAATAAACATTTCAACAAAGATTATAAAACATGGCCACTATTACATGAAAAGCTCAACATCATTATATCATAGGAAAAATGCCAAATCAAAATGACCAAAATGATGCACTAATCATTTCACACCCACTTAAAATGATTATGTAAATCAGAACGCAGAACCGGCAGCGGTGCGTCACAAGTAACCCGCTACTCAGGAGGCTCAGATGGGAGGATTGCTTGAGATCAGTAGTTCAAGGCTGCAGTGAGCCATGATGGCACCACTGCATCCAACCTGGGTGACAGAGTGAGACCCACCCATATCTAAAATATAAATAAATAATAAATAGGCCAAGCGCGAGTGGTTACGCCGTATATCCTGGCCACTCTGAGTCGAGCGTAGGTGATTGCTCAAAGTCAGGAGTTTCAAAACACGCGCTGGGAGCAAGAGTGAGCCGTCGTCGTCACTTTTATAAAATAGAAAAGCGAAATTAATTGTGCAAACTAAACTAGTATATGATAATACATCATATATGTTTATGGCCCAATTCAATGTTGGCAGCCGATGGTGGTGCATGCCTGGAGTCCCAGCTACCGTTGGGAGGCTGGGCAGGAGGATTGCTTGACGCCCAGGAGTTTGAGGTTGCATGTGAGCTAAGTGCGCACCCGGGCCTTAGCCTGGCAACAAATTGAACTCTGTCTCAAAAAAAAAACAAAGAAAACAAAAAGAAAAAAATTTTTAAAAAAGAAAAATAAATAGAATATAATAATAATAAATAAATAAAATTAAGTGCATTTCTTTTTTAAAAAATACATAAATGTTGAAAAGGACATAGAGAAATTGGAACTTTCATACATGCTGGTAGGGAATGTAAAATGATATAGCTGCTTTATTGAAACAGGTCCAGCAGTTCCTCAAGGTTACACAGAATCATATATATATATATATGCTATTATACCCAAGAAAATGAAACATATGTTCACATGAAAAGCTTATACACTGCAATGATTCATAGCATATACTGTTCCACATAGCCACAAAAGTGTGGAAAACCCAATTCTATCAACCTGATGACAATATGTTTCATCAGTTAGGAAATAAAATATGTGTATTTCCTATACAATGAACTATTTGAGTAACTAAAAAGGAATGGACGCGGCTGCAGTGCTCCGCTGACATCCTTAGCATCCTGGGGAGGCTTGGAGCGTGCGGAGTGCTCAAGGTCGGCGAGTTCAACAAGCCTTGAGTGAGACTCTGTCTCTACTAACAATAAGAAATTAACTTGACCAACCTCTAAAAGGTTATATACAAAAAAATTAGCGGGGCATGGTGGGTGCGATTGGCCTGTAGTCCGCGCTACCTCGGGAGGCTGAGGCAGGAGGATCGCTTGAGCCCAGGAGTTTGAGGTCTGTGTGAGCTAGGCTGACGCCATGGCACTCACTTAGCCTGGGAACAAAAGTGAGACTCTGTTCAAAAAAAAAAAAAAAAAAAAAAAAGGAATGGAGCACCTGGCATGAGAGCAGCTGAATACACGACTCAAGATGGATAAACCTTGAAAACATCATGCTAATTGAAGAATCCAGTCAAAAAGACTACGTATTGCATGATTCCATCTATATGAAATGTCCATAGAGGCAAATCTAGAGAGGTAGAAAGTGGATTAGTGGTTGCCTGGGGCTAGAGGTGTGATGCTGAAATGGGGGTGACTGCTACAGGGTACAAGGTTTCCTTTTGGGGTGATGAAAATGTTCCAAAATTGACTGTTTTGATGGTTGCATAACTCTTTGAATATAATAGTCGCCCCCTTATTCACAGGGGATTTATTCAAAGACCCCTGGTGGATGCCTGAAACCACTGATATTAATAGTACCAAACACTATATAAATAATGTTATTCCCTATGCATACATACCTACGATAAAGTTCAATTTATAAATTAGGCCCAGGAAGAGACTAACAACAACTAGTAATAAAATATAACAATTATAACAATATACTACAATAAAAGTTAAGTGAATGTGGTGTCTTTCTCTGTTTCGAAATATCTTTTTTTTTTTTTTTTGAAATATCTTAATGTAATTTACTCACCTATTTTTGGACCTTGGTCGACAAATGGGTAACTGAAACCACATAAAGACAAACCACAGATACGGGGCTACTACTGTATACTAAAGACCAGTGAATTGTACACTTTAATGAATGAATTGTATGAGATGTGAATTATACTGTAATAAGGCTGTTACAAAGGGAAAAAAAGCCAATTCCAAAAGGTTATATACTCTATATATTTACGCAACATTTTTGAAATGACAAAATTTTAAAAATGAAGGACAGATTAGTGATTATCAAGGGCTGGGGGTGGAAGAAAACAGGGAGGTGAATGTAGTTATAAAAGGGCAACATGAAGGGTACTTAAGGTAATTGAACTGTTTGATATTTTGATTACAGTGGTGAATATACAAACCTACACACCTAATAAATTGTATAGAACTAAACACACACACGCACTAGTACAAGTGAAAACTGGGGAAGTATAAGTAAGATCTGTGGATTACATCAATGTCAATAAATTGATTGTGATATTACACTATGGTTTTGCAAAATGTTACCATTGCAGGAAATAGGGTGAACATATACAGGGCATCTCTCTGTATTTTTCTTACAACTGCATGTGAATCTACACTTATCTCAATAAAAATTCCATTTAAAAATTTCTCCTCTAAACAAAAAGAGTCTCCTCTGATGCAGGTGCACCATTACTCCTAATACCTGCCTTGCCCTTTTTAACAAGGAAGAGCAGGCCAGGCACAGTGGCTCACGCCTGTAATTCCAGCAGGAATTGGAGGTGGAGGCGGGAGAATTCCTTGAGGCCTAGGAGTTCAAAGACCAGCCTGGGTAACAGGAGAAGCCGGCTAGAATTTATAACACACTTTTATATGATGGAGTTTAGTTGTTTTATGTTATCTAGATGATATAACCTTGGACTAAGAACACAGATCTGAAGCCAGCCAGTCAAAGGTTCCCATCCCATCCCAGACTCTTATTAGCTGTGTGTTCTTGGGCCAGTCACCTAACATCTCTGTACCTCAGTCCCCTCACCTGTAAAATGGGTATGACAAGAGTACCTACATCATGGTGCTGTTGTAAGTTTTCAATCAATCAATATGATGTGTGTGTATATGTATGTTTGACAAAGTATCAGCTATCATCTTCACCACAAGGGTTGAGGGAAAATAACAAGGATTTAGAAACTTTTAGAAGCACACATCTAGGCCATGCCACCTCTCGGAATGTGCCCCTCTGCCCTTCGTTGCCCTGAGCCCACACCACGATGTGGGGACCAGGGACTGGGGCCAGGAATGCACCCACCTGCGCACTTGGTGCGGCTGACCAGAGGCGGCCCTGGGCGGCCGGTGCCGCCGTCTCCAGGGCGCGTGAGCAGCACGCTGATCTCGTACTCGGTGTCCGGGTCCAGGTGCCACAGCTTGTAGGTCTGCAGGCTCACGGCGTGCACCTCGGCCCACGGGCCGCGCGCCATGCGGTACTCGATCTCCTTGCGCACGATGGGCCCGTCGCCGATGATGGAGTTGGTGTTGAGCTGGATGATGAGGTAGGTGGGGCCGGCCCGCAGCAGCTGTGGGGGCGCGATGGGCGTGGGGGGCTCTGCGGGCCGATTAGGGAGAGGCGGAGCTGACGGACACTGCTGTGAGATCACATCTCCCAAATCCGAGTCCCACCAACGTCCCGCCAACATCCCGCCACACCCAAATCGCCAACAGCCCTGCCAGTCCTCCCGGACCCCTCCCGCAGACCCGCTCTCCCGCCTCCACTAAATCCCCAGGCCCTAAGCAGCCCCGGCTTCTAAGGCTGAACCCACCCTCACCCCTCTGCTGCCACCCTCTCCCTCACACCCCTGCAAGTCCTCCGAGACCTTGCCTGGCGGGGCGGACCACAAGCGCAGCGGCCACACAGCCAGACCCTGCCTTGCCAGGCTCTCACCTTGACCCTGCACCCCAAGCCGGCCACTGACCCTGCCCCCTCTGCAGGCCCCGCCCATTCGATCAGACCTGCTGGGGGTGAGACACTGCCCCCTCCACAGGCCCACCGGGGGGACATCACACCCCAGCCACACAGTGCTGTCCCTCGCCCCTGGGAGAGTGCGGGTCTCTGCCCTCCCGCCCCTGTTTGCACTGACCCTTGACGATGAGCTCCGCGAAGTTGGAGACCCCCGCGCCGCGCGGGGCCTGCGACACACAGCGGTACAGGTCCTGCTCCGCGCGGCCCACGGCGGCCAGCGGGAAGGTGGCCAGGAAGCGCCGGTGGCTGATGTGCCGGACACTGGCCGCTGGCACTAGCGCCCCGCTCTGCCGCTGGGGAAAGAGGGGTGACAAGGTCACGGGCGCCGCGGAGGAAGGAGTCCTCTCGCTCTGACCCGAGCCAAGGCTAGGGTAATCCTCCCGGCGGGTTTAGCGACCCAGCTACACAGGGGGGATATGGGGTACCTGGAGCCATGCGCTCTGCCCTGGGGTGATGGGGGACCTAAGAGGGCACCCCGCAAGGGAGCCAGGGCCCAGAAGTAGATACCCACCCCTCCTTGGCCAGGCCCCCAAGCCCCTCACCTGCAGGAGGAAGCGCTCAGCCTCGGCTGCTCTGCCCGCTGCCATGCACTGGAACGAGGCGTTCTGGCCCGCGTTGACCTCCACGTCGCCCAGGCGGGAGAAGTGCGGGGCCTTTGCTGCGGGAATAGAGCCACGAGTGAGCTGGGCCTGCACCCCTTTAGACAGGGGCCTGGGCCTCCCACACCCCTCACTCCTGCGCCGGCGGGCAGCCAGCTGGGACTCACCGCAGGGGTAGCTGAGAAGCAGGATGTCATCTAGGCCCATGTAGCCCCTGCGGTCTGGGGAGATGAGGGCCTCAAACAGCACCTGGGGGAGGCGGGAGGGCCCTTATCATACTGATACTCCTGCAGCCCTGCCTGGGAGGGCCCACAAGAGCCCCCTTTAGCTCCACCCCAGCCCCAGCCCCAACCGCAACCCCTTCCTGCTCAAGCAGCAGAGCTCAGCTGACCCTACCAAGCTAGCTAATTGGGAGTGGGGTGTCAGCACCCAGCCTGAACAAGGTCAAGGCCAGAGCTTCCATCTCAATCCTGGACAGTTACTTCAAGCAGCAAAACTCTTTTCCTAGCCAGGCAGGGTTTCCAGGTGGGCACTGTTCCAACTCACCCTTGACCCCAGCCTTGGGCATTTCCTATTAACAATGACCTCTGATGCTGAACCCAGACTGGCCCAGACTGACCCCTGGCCTCAATCATCGATTCCTGATGCTGATCACAGACTCATTCTAACCTCAGCCACTCACCTGTTCTGACCTCAAGCCATCATCCTCCTCCCCCTACCCCAGGTACAGGTTGACCACAGACTGAACTCAGCCAACCTGATATTCGTTGGGCCAGAAGGTGCTGACAGCCAGCTCAGCCTGATGCCACTGTCGGCCATGGGATCCAGTCATATTCCAGACGGCACTGCCCAGGGGGCCCCCATTAACACGCACATAGACACCCAGAGTGCCCGGGCTGTGCCCGTCCCGGCTGTACAGGAAGTAGCTGAACTGCACACAATGGGTGTCATTCTCACTCAGGCTCTGGAAGATGACATGGGCCCGCTGGCCTGGGGCGTGCTGGGAAGTGTTGACCATCAAGTAGGAGCCTGGAAAGAGAGGAGGAAGAGGCAGCAGCTGAGGAGACCTTAGGAGAGGACCAGGTGGGCAGGAGAGGGGCAGAAGCAAAGGACTCCAGGCATTTGGACCCACGGGAGGTCAGGGTTCTGAGCTCCAGTCCCTGCTCTAACTCACTGGGTGAGTCCCTTCATTTCCCAGCGTCTGTTTCCCAGTGCAGAGAGCTGGAGCAGCAAAATCCACACAACCCTGACTTTGTCAAAACCCTTGATGGCTCCACTCATCTACAGGTCACAGTCCAAGCTCATGCCCTGCCTGAGCACAGCCTCCCCCATCTTCTGAGCCATCCTTGGAGGTAAGGACTAGGTCAGTCATCTCCAGAGTCAAGAGCCTGGCACATGGCAAGCCCTCAGAGGCCACTTCTTCCAAAGCCCTCCCTCTACATCCCACCTTGGGCTTCTCCCCTGGCCCCTGGACCATTACCAAAGTGGGTTTCTGTGTCCCACCAGCCTGTGATGCCTCAGGGCTCCACTGTGTCAGAGAAGGGGCTCTGAACCCAAGCTGAATGAATATGTGGAACAGAGACTGAATGAAACGATTCTAACTTCCCTTCCAGCCCCCAGCTCTGAATCTAAATTCCTGGGATACCAATTCTCTTGACTTCCCATCTGGAGAAAGGGAGCCTGTCCCATCCCCAGAGATCCAGGTTGCGGACAGGGGAGCAGGAGTGGACTGGGTGCCTCAGGACCTGGCTGGGGGATTACAGCTTCCCTCTGGGGGGAGAAGGCCCCAGCAGCTGCCAAAGGGACAACTGCAGCCACCCAGCATTGCCTCCTCCCGGGCTTGGCTGCCAGCCAACACAAGCTCATTCAGATCTCTGCTGCAGGAGGGCTCCCCAGGGACTCTGCTGGAAGGGATCTCATTCATCTCTGTGAGCCAGAAGCCTGTGAGCCCGCCCTGGATCAGTCCTGGCAGGGTAGTAGTAAACAGAACTCAGGTCCCTGTCCCCACTCAGGAAGGGGCACATCCCAACCCCCAACACACTCTGTCTTGGCCCATTCCTGCTTCCTCTCTCCTCTCCCTGTGAGCAGCTGTGTGAGTCTTCCTCCTCCTTCCAATCTGACACTTTGTTCTGCCTCCTCCTGCTGCTCCCTCTGCCTCTCTCCTCTCTCTTCGCATCCCTCCCCTTCTCTTCCATTTCCTCCCTTTGTCCCTGTCGCTCTCCTGCTCTCCTCTCTCCTGCTGTCTGTCTGAGTGTGAATCTCTCTCCACCCCCAACTCCCTTCCCTAGAACACGAGCACCAGGAGGGCAGAGACTGTCCATCTGGCTCACCACCACATCCCCAGGATCTAGCACAAGGCCCACGCTCATTACTACATTTCCCTCTCCCCTTTCTCACTGGGGATGTCTCTGCTTGCATGTGAGAGAAAGAGAGGCAGAGCCCACACAGGGTGGCTGGGACTGTAAGAGGAGAATTCAAATCAGCTGTCTTCTACCTGAGTGCCAACCGTGTATCAGGCCAAGGCTGGGCCCTGGGCGTGGAGAGGCCCACACAGAGCCCCTGCCATGGTGCGTACCTTGACAAACCATTCTCAGACAAGTCAAAGTGTGATACTCACCAGTACTGAGGTCTAACAAGGATCTGAGAGCCCTGCAGAGGCAGAGACAAATGCCCCAGGAAGGGCATAGTGGGAGCAAACGCACAGAAGGGGAGGCAGGGAAGTTGGGGGAGTCTGCAGAGGCCACCTGTACCAGGCCATGAAAGGCCCCTCTCCTAATGGCTTCGGGTCCTGGCCCCCCACTGAGAACCTTTGCCGCCCTTGCCCTCACCCCTGACAGCAGATGCGATCTCAGCTGTGCTGGGCAGTGAAGGCCCCGGGCTCCTACTGTGAGAGGGCAAAGGGAGGGGTCCTTAGGCTGTCCAGTGCTGGGGTTCACTCATTTGGTTTCCACACTACCTATGTCCTCTGACACAGTCCTTATCAGTGATGAAGTTGGTCATTTGGCCTTCATCTGTCTTATCTTTTTCTTAATTCCCAGTTGATTATGTACCTAGCAAAGAGGGGTGCTAGTAACTGGGCCCTCTCAGACACCCCCAATAATAGCAATTAAACCCTGATCCCCTTCTTGCCACCCTCTGCACTTTATAGGCATTATCTAATAACCCTGCTAAATGGATTCTTGTTCTCTCCACTTTACAGTTAAGTGTGAACTAAAATAAAGTCTTAAGTCCCCAGCTGACTAAATGGACCCCTCTTGCCCAAGGAGACCCCAGAAATTATACTAAAGCTGAGTTTCTGGCCATGAGAAGGGAGGTCAGACACTCCTGTCATGCCCCCTCCCCCTTCTTGGGCATGTCCTTTGTGACTGATTAACAGGCCGAAGGCTATGCAAGACAAAGCTTAAACCACTTGGGTCTGGGTATATGTCCTGTATATGTCCAGTGGCTTGTCTCTGATTAACAGACTTCCTTAACTTAAAACATTCCAAGCCTTTGGGCAAAGCTTCATTTCTTTAATCAATCACAAATCAAGGAATCTTTAAACCCACCTATAACCTGTAATGCCCTACTTCAAGATGTCCTGCCTTTTCAGGCCAATCCAATGTACACTTTCCATGTATTGATTTATGACTTTATGTGTCATTCCTGTCTTCCTGAAACGTATAAAACCAAACTGTATCCCAACCACGGTGAGTCCACTTGCTCAAGGCTTCTTGGGCATGGCTCTCCAGGCCATGATCACACATATTTGGCTCAGAATAAACCTCTTTAAATTATTTTAAAGAGTTGGGGTTCTTTTCTGTTGACAAAGGACAAAGGAGACTCAGAGAAGTTAAGTGATTTTCCCAAAGTCACACAGCTGGTAAAGTGATGGAGCCAGGATTTGAGCCCAGGTCTACATGACTTTGGGATGAGTGCTCTACGGGCCATCATTAGAACAAGAGGCCAACACTAGAATCCATGTAATTAGTCTCCTGACTCCCAGTCCAGTGCTCAGGATGCCAAAAGTGCCCCATCCTGAAATAGGGCAGAGCAAGGTGGAAGTTGGGAAGGATCTAGGACTTCCAGGAAGAGGTGGGCAGAGGAAGGAAGATTTTATACCCACCTATCCCTAGTGTTACTGCTCTTTCAGCATCTTCAAGTCCTGGGGAGACTAGGTTCAAAGGCTGTCCAGGAGAAAAGAGCCTTTGAAGAGAGGCTTCCAAAGGTGGTGGATTTAGGAAGACCTGGTAGGAGTGGGGTGGGTCCTGAGCTAAGCCGTAAGGGGAGTAATGGGAAGTCAGTTTTAGCTCACAGCTGTAAGGGCCTTTGATTACTTGAACCTGCACCCAATTTACAAGTGAAACTCCCTGACATGCACAATCAGACAGTGTCCAGAGTGCTCCACATCCAGTGTCATGTATGTCATTGCAGATGCAAAAGCAGATGAGGCCCAGAGAGGTTAAGTAATGTGCCCAAGGTCACACAGCAGGTGGGTAGAGATGCCCCTAGAAGGAGACAAAGAGGGAAGGGTAATGAAAAGTAGACTCACCATGGGGCAGGTCCGCAGGGGCCCGGGTGCCAGGGTGGATCCGCACTTGCTCCCACTGAAAGTCATCGTACTGGGCCTGGCTGTACTCGCAGGGCACTGCTGGGTCACTCGTCTCCTCGAAGGTGCAGCCAGCTGTGAGGGCATGGCCTGCTTAGCCCAGGCTAGGACAGGTTGCTGGCCAGGACATTGCCTGGAAGGTAACCCCCACTCTCCCCTCCTTCTGCCCAGCCCCCTCCCTCTCTTCAGGTCCTTCCCTACTTCTCTGCTCCCTCCCTGTAACAAAACTCTCCCTCCCCCACCCTCTCTCCTCCCAAGGACCTCCCTCACTGTCCTCCTCCCCAATACCAAGTCATCCGCACACTGCCCACTCCCCCAGTACTTCCTAGGATGCCCCACTGCTCACCCACCCATCAAAGACCCTCCTCCATAAAAACCAGTTATGATTGCTACATCATTGGAATTTCACAAAAACCCATAAGATCAGGATAAGAATTATCCCTATAATTCCAGTCCTGATCTCAGGGTTAGAATTAATCCTAACCCTAACTCTAACCCTAACTAAGGCCCAAAGAGATTGAATGACTTCCTTAGGGTTGCACAGCTCACGAGTGATGGAGATGGGGTTTGAACCAAGATGTCCTGACTACCACTCACTGTTCTGCCACCTGCCCCTCCATCTTCACATAGAGGACAGACAGAGGGCCCTGGGCCTGGCAGGATCATGAATGCCCTAAGCCAGCCTGACAGTATCTCCTTAAAAATAACGACAATTGCCACCAATCATCTCATGCTTACAACAAGCCTGGCACGCTGCTAAATGATGTAAGTGCAGAGTCTCATTTAGGCCTCACATTCTGAGCCTGGTACCACTGTTACTCCTGCCTGACAGATGTCAACAGGATTCAGTCATTGCCCAATGTCAGCCACCTTAGGTCACTGCAGGAATGTGACATGCAAAGGCACAGCCACATGTGGACTAGGCACATGGATGACTAGAGGAAGCGAATTCCCATGATTTGCAACAAATATTAACAGTTTAAATGAGAAAGGGAGGGAGGAAGTGAGGAGTGAAATCGATATGAGTCTCGTAGTTGGTGATGAGGTCCATGTATCTTATATCTTAGCTCATCAAAGCCCTGAGATGGGCACCTACCAAACCTGACAGCACCATTGGTTCAGAAAGAAACTGCAAACTGGGCCCCTGCCTCACTCCTAAACCTTAGTGTTTGGAGTTCCACCAGGAGTAGTCAGAAGCATCCGAGACCCAGGAAAATGCCCGAGCAAGCAGCAAGGAAGCAAGCGCTAGTCATGCCAGGCCCTGTTCTGGGTGCCTTCAAACCACTGGTACTTCCCCACTTCACAGATGAGGTGACTGAGGCTCCGAAGGGTGAAGGGACCCGTCCACAGTACCACATGGTAGATCAGTGAGTGGGCTTTGGCATCAGACAGAACCGGGATCGAATCTTGACTCTGCAATTTGCCAACCCTTGTGCCTGTGGGCAGCTTCCTTCTCTTTCTGAGCCTCAGTTTCCCCATCCACACATGGGGCTGTTGAGGATTCAATGCAATGGTCCACTCAGCACAATGCCTCGCCCATGTAAGCACTCAGGAAATAGCAGCTCTTAACATGTGCCCCTTGAGAAGCAAGGCGGTATTTGAACCCAGGTTAGTCAATGCCAAAGTCCATGCTTCCTACCAGAAAAATTCCTGGGTAGTAGAAGCAACAAACCTGAGCTGCTTCCCAATCTCAAGAAGAGGAGGGAGGGGGTCTAGACAGTAACTGGGGAATAAGTGCCATGTGCCAGGCACAGTGCTAGGCATTTTCACATGCAGCAAGTGACTTCACTTTTAGGAGGCTCTGTACCGTTTCATCTGTTGTGCAGATCACATGAAGTAGCATAAGGAAACAACACACTCAGCGGAGCCAGGTGCAAGGGGGCTCGCGATTGCTTAGGGGCTCCCTCTCCTCTCCCTGGACTCCATGCGAGTGTGAAACGATGAGATGTGGGTGTGAGGCTGGCCCCAAGCGGATGGAATGAAGTACAAGAAGACTCTTTGCAGAGCTGGGGCAGGGCATTGGCTGAGCTGTTTGCCTCTTTGTTTGAAAAGCCCTGGTCAGCATCATGCCCTATGGCTTTTGGGAGGTGGGTTTTAACCCCATCTGGGCTGGGAGTGCCACAGGGCAGCACGCAGAGAGGACATGGCTAGTAGGGAGGGTCAGGGAGGATTTCCTGGAGGAGGGGAACAGCTAACTTCAGCCTAAGCTGGGCCTGCCCCTGAGGATCTTAGCCAAGGCGTCCCCAAGGCAGAGAGATTGCCAGAAGGGAAGCTCAGGATCTAGAGCTCTGGGGCTCAGGCCCTTCTTGTTCCTTCACAAGTAACAAGGTAGCTGCCCTCAATGTCTCACCCATGGCCCTGGGGTGAGCCTGGGAGTGCCAGTGCGTGGCTTCCTCTTGTCTATTCTGAGCCAGGCCTCATGACCTGCCAGGACTCCCAGATCAACTGACCTAATTGGAGTGACACCCAGGCCAAGGTTTCTGCTCAGAGTGACCCCCCCAACCATCCGACCTCAGCCAGAGTCGCCACTAGATTGACTGACCCAAGTTGCTAAACCCCAGACAGACTGATCTCAGCCAGAATGGCTCCGAGCTGACTGTCCCTGGCCAGAGTGGCCCCAACCTCATATAGATGAGCCCTAGGCCATCCAACTTCAGCCAGAATGACCACCATTCTGACTGTCTGAGCCCAGATTGGCTGATCCTGGCCAGAATGACCCCTGACCTATGCCAAATACCCTACAACTATGCCAAATACCCTACAACTGACCCCAACCAGGGTGACCTCTTAGGCTGACTGACCCCATCTAGAGTGACCCCTTAACAAGAATAACTCCTTCTCCCTGATCCGTGTCCATCTCCAGACCTGTGTCTCTAGGCCAGGCCCAGATCTAGCTATGGCCCTTAGTGGGTAACATCTCTGGGGCTCCCCAAGCAGAGCCAGGTCACCCAAGATGGGAACAGCCAGCTCTCCCCGGTGCTAGGAAAAGCCCCATCACCTCCAGCTTGGGCAGCTCAGGAGCCAAAAGCCCCAGAGCCAAGGCCCATTTTCTGCTAAGAAACTCAACTCCTGGGGAGGCTGCTAGCCCAATCGAAAAAAACCAGAATCAGACTAAATCGGAGTTCAGAACAGTAGCAGAGACTCCCTCTGGACTCATCGACACAGACTCGGGCACAGACATGTACACACACGTCAACACCACCGCGAGGGGGCCGCCACCTACCACATGACCACCTGCACTGGTGAATCCTCACAGCAACTCAGAAAACAGGTACTATTATTATTTCTATTTTATAGATAGAAATGGTCTCAGAGAGATACAGTGGCTTACCCAAGGCCACACAGCTACAACTTACAGAAGCTCGGACTTAAACCACCTATCTTTATTCCAGGAGACTCAGCACAAACAAAATAAGGTCCTGATATTCTATTGGCCACATGTCAGCTTCGTTCACAGGACATTTGTTCCCTGACAGTACAAAGCGGGTCCCCGGCTGACACTACTAGAGGCACAAGGATGACTAAGATCCCACCCTGCTCCCAGGGACTTCCAGGTCTGAGAGAGGGTGAAGGGGTGGGACAGAGCAGAGAAGGGTCAAGGCCACTGGAAGGGGTGCAGGGGAGGGTGCAGGGGAGGGAGCAGGAGGAGGGCAGAGGCTTCTTGGAGGAGGCTGCATCTGAGCAGAACCTGGAAGAACAGGTGTCACTCTGGCCAGGGGAAATGGGTGGCAGGGCACTAGAGGCAAAGGGCCCAGCAGAGCAAAGCGAGACAGTAAGTAAACACAGCTTTGTCAGAGGACAGAGAGAAGCCCAGACTGGCCAGAGACCTAGCAGATGGGCCTGGAGGGAGGGAGGGAGGTTGAGGCCAGACCATGGAGGGCCCTAAATGCCAAGTGAGGAGTTCAGCCTTATTTTGAACTGGGGAGCCACGGTAGGTGCTTGAGCAGGAAAGTGCCTGAATTCAGATGAGGTAAGTGACACATCCTGTAAGCCATGAGTAGGACAGGCTGGCTTCTCCAGAGAGCACAACAGGGTCAGGAGGGAGCCTGGGACCCAGCCACCACGGGGTCCAGAGTCCGATGTCAGGAACTGGTGAGGAAAGGGGCCTCGAGTCCCCATCCTGGATGCAAACAGCACGCACTCCAGTAACACTCAGATGCAACACACACACACACACACACACACACACACACACACACACACACGACTCAACACTCAAATGTTCACACACACACACTTCCCATACTTCCTGCCCCACCCCACTTAGTCCAAGCCTTGGGGACACAATCTCAGTTAGGCTGGGAACAGGGAGAAGACCAGGCTCTCCTTGGGCACCCACCCCTGGGAGGCCTCCCAGAGAGGGTGGGCTGAATCAAGCCAGGACCCCCACGAGCTCCCCCAGCCTCAGCTCAAACTGGCCCCGCTACATTCCTCAGCTAATCTCCCCAATCTGGCAGGCGGTTGCCTGAGCAACCGTCAGCCACAATTTGGGAAGGCAGGGGGATGGTTTAGCCACATCCAGTTGGGCTCAGGCTGGGGTGAGGCAAGGGGCAGAGCTGGAGGAGTAGGGGGCGTCTCCCTGGTGTGCGGGTCTCCATGTCTCCACTGGCACGTTTCCACCGGCAGCTGTGCGTGTGTGGGCGCATGCACATGTGTGGACATGGCTGTGACAGTGACGGGACAGCCTGGTACCGAGTTTCAAGTACTCAGCTGGGAGGCAGGGGACCTGCATCACATTCCTACTGAGGCTCCAAGTCCCTCTGAGACTTGCCCTCTCCCAAGCCCTGCTTCTTCACCCCTGAAACGAGCATGGGGACCTCTGAGGCTGCTCCCACGTCTGCAATTCTGACTGCAGACTGCAGCGTGCACCACACGCAGACGCACAGCACACATGCAGAGCCCCACACTCTAATGTTCACCACACCTACTCCCTGTCCCAGGCCTAGTCCAGCCTTGGCGACACGATCTTGGTTGGGCACTCCATGTGCAGGGTGGCTTCCCAGAGAGGGTGGGTTGAATCAAGCCAGGACACCCACAGGCTCCCCCAGTCCCTTGTATGAGTGTGCACAAGAGTG